CATGATGATGAGCATGATGATGAGCATGATGATGATGAGGATGATGATGAGGATGATGATGATGAGGATGATAATAATAAAATAAACTTTATTTAACGTGGTCAATGTGCTTAGCTACTTTACAGCCATGCCACACAAAAAAAACAGACATTATGAAGAAAAGAAATTTAAAAACATATATAAGGATATAGACTATAAAAATATGACTAAAACATGATAAGGCAACTCCTTGTATACGATATGTATGTTATGAATTAATTAGGATGCATATAGAAATTTAAAAATTCATGGCAATACGCAGTAAATGTATAAAAAACCAAGTCAAACTTTGTGTCATTCCCTTGAGAATAAGATTGTTTGTTTGAGCTGTATCCATATTCATGTGTCTTCTCATGTGCAACCGAGCGCAACCGTTAAACAAAGAAAGGATAATCTAGGGAATGACACGTGGCCTGAAATGGGACATCATTACGCCCGAGTCGAGGAGGTCTATTCGGGAAAGGTATATTAATAGGCACAGATTTCATCGAATTTGTCAAGTGTTGTTTTAAAACTACCTTCATGTATTTACAATATTTAGGAAAAAATTATTGCAAAAAAAGGGACGACCACTGGCGGAATTGGCGTGTTTGTGCCACTCGCTTCGTGGACGATTGAACTGATGTTAAACTAACTCAGATCTTTACTATAACATAATAATTGAGCCTTTTAAAGAGGTAGCTGAGCTCTGTAAGGAGAATATTGAGCCCTGATAATTGATAATTGAGCTCCACGAGGAGAATACCTGCAGATGAATATTTCACAAAGATATGATTCAAAAATGTTACTATGTTTCTATCACGATTATGCAATATATACAATTGCTAGTTTTCGTATAGCTGCCATGAGTGGTTGAATTTAACAAAAATATTATTTTTCTTTGTTTGTTTCGTTATACCAACTAACATGGCAGCCATCTTTCTTATTTAAAGGATTGCAAGCCATGCAGGCATTTTAGTTTGGGTGGGCAGGCACTCGACCGGCGGTACTGGCAAAGATAGACTATTGTAACCCTCCCACCCATCTCGATTTCATCATTGGACGCGTACACTTTAGAAAAAAATGAGGCAATGATAATTAAGCCAAAACAAGCAGTAGTACAGCAGTCTAAAAGAAATATTTGTTCATTCGGCGAATAACTTGTTGTCCATAGTATATTGTACATTATGGTTTAGGCAAATGTTTGGTTGTCGACATTGTCTTGCTGGTTCCTTGATCCTTGCTTGATTTCCAATTCTTCCTCGTTCAAATTTCCTTTTGACATCTAGATAAATTTTGAAGAAAAATAATGTTAAACTAAATTTTATATAAAAATGTTTAAACTCGTCAGCTCTTCATCTACTTCATCTACTTTACATGTTTCAGATCTATCCTTTATATGTTCTAAACCCGTGGGAATATTTCCCACGGCATACAACCAAAGTTACGTTAATACTGAATGAATAAAAGATATAGATAAAGAGTATAAGATATTATTAAGATATAGATGTAGTTAAGATACATTGCTTTGACTTCGATTCTAATAGTTGTGACATCAATTTTTGGGTTTTTAACAAAAGTTCATTTTAACGAAAATATTATTGAAATTGGTATTACTTGTTGAGAAAGTTCGATTTGAAGTCTTTTCAGTAATTATTTCTTCTAAAGAATAACAGCAAGACTATTAGACTTATTATTAAGAATCCTAGCAGGCTGTTATCAACCAGGCATTTAATTGGATCTATGATGATAGTCCAGCGTTTTTTCGTTGGTTATAGATCTTCGTTCTATACCGCAACGTTCCTTGATTACAGACTCGTTTACTCAGAGTTAGCCTTATTCCAGCCTCAATATATTCACAAATACCAACGGTAAAGTAAAGAATGCACAACTTCAACGATAGAAACTCACCTGGCTATTATTCAACATTGCTTTCAGAGTATTGCAGATTTGATCAAAAGTAGGACGTTGTTTGGGATTGGCTTGCCAACACATCTGCATCACGCGATATCTGTAAGAAGAAAGAATAAGGAACACCTCGTCATATTATTTCGAATGACGTCAATTACGAGGAGCACGCGTGCGCGTAAAAAAACGTGCGTACAAAGGATGCGAGTGAGAAATTCGCGAGCGTCCATGATTACAAACCAACTGACTCGAAAAGCCCCCTTCATATTTTCCTGCGCCATCTTGACTGGTAGCCGTGCCTTTGCATCGAAGCGAGACGAACAGTGAGCTTGTGAATAATTGTTCAAGGTGTTTAAAAAAGGTCTCTATCATTGCAAGCTCTGTTAGAGTTCTATTAGAGTAAACTTTATAATGCACATTCTGAAGCATAAAATCCTTGTTTGGCGTGTACTGAACCTCGCCCTTTTATCTCATGACAGTCGTGCAACGTAGAAACATATTCAATTTGAAGTAAATTCTAAGAATACCGAGCTTACAATTCATCGGGTGTTCCTTCAGGTTGCTCCAATCTGTAGCCTTTCTTTTGATTTTTAAGCAGTTCCGTGAAAGAGATAGCTCCATGTGGCATGAGGCCTTCAAAAATAAATGTCATTATGATCGTCAGCGTAACTTGAGAAAGCAGCAATAAAAAAAGGTCATGATTCGTAGAAGAAACCCTTTGTACTGATCAAATTCATCCGGGCATTGCTAACTCACAGGTTGAAATCAGTTTGGCGTATTGGGTTTTGCTTTGGCAGGAAAACCGAAATATGGCGACCAATTCAATATCTATTGATCTGCACTGACTAACGAGTGACTTAACTAGCCTTGTGTACGCGTAGAAACATAAAAACGTTTACATTTGTATGAGAGGCTAGTCAGTCGTTAGTCAAAGCAAAACGATAGTTATACGAATTAGTCGCCATATTTCGACTCGGTGTATATGGGTTAATTATGTGGTAACACGACCCGAATAAAAATGAAGCAATATTATTGGTTGTAATGTGGTTTTTCAAAGGCAGAACCAAACTTAGATATAATAGAATACTAACCTTTAGTTTCAATTTCCCACAAAAGAACTCCAAAAGACCATCTTCAAAGAAAGTTTAAAATAACTTGAGCCAAATAATAAAAAAATCAAGAAAAAATAATTTAAATACACAAGTTTAAATTGTGAAAATACACCACTCCATGCTTACACATCACTCTCCAAAGTAAATCGCCTCAGCTCCAAAGACTCGATAGCCATCCATCTAGTTGGAAGCTTACCCTATTAGAAAGGGTGCAAAAATGTTAGCGAGTATATACTCAAATCAATTCTTGTATTTTCACATGAAGTTACAGCCGCCATTTTGGTGTACCTTTGACAACAACCTTTTCATTAGTTTCTTTTGTTAGGTACACCAATATGGCTGCCATCTGTGATGTCAGTAAACTCTCCAGGGACTCAATGAAAACGCTCTATTAGTCGTTCGTTTGACCACATCTCAAACCTATTTAACTAATTTTAACGAGATTGAAAACCAGTAACAGAAAGGTTTTTGTTTGCTTAAGAAAGTAATATACTATGCATGATTAACATAGTCAATACTCACCCCAGTAGTCTTCTCGTATTCTCCCGTTTCGTAGATATCACGAGACAAGCCAAAGTCTGCTACCTTTGCAACAAAGTCATCTGCCAACAGAACGTTCCTTGCAGCCAAGTCTCGATGAACGCACTATGAGAAGGTATAACTTTAACTTACAAAACAAGAAAAAAGGCAATGCTGCATGTTGGATGTTGCATATTGCCTGTTGGATGTTGGATGTTGCAGGCTGCATGCTGCATGTTGAATGTTGCTTGTTACATATTGCATGTTGCATGTTGCATGCTGCATGCTGCATGCTGCATGCTGCTTGTTACATGTGGCAATTTGCATGCTGCACGCTGCATGTTGCATGATGCATAATGCGTTCTGCTTACTATTAAACTTGACATGTATTTTATTTACGTGTAAATAGTTTCAACACGGAAGAAAAATATTACGGAAAAACTGCAAACGAAGTCTAAGGCAATTTAGGCCTGGTATGCATCATGCAACAAAACCGGCACCAAACCTTTTTTTTCAAAAATAGTTGTATATTGTAAATAGCTTACCCTTCTTTTTGCCAAATGGGTCATTCCTTTGGCCACATCTAATGCAATCTTTAGCCTATTARCATAATTCAGCTCGAATTTTAACTTCTCTTCTGGTTGTGTGCGTGCTTTTCGTAAGAACTCAAACAGCGATCCGTTACGGGCGAATTCGACGATTACAAACAGCTTTTCTGGAAAAAAATGAAATATATTATTAGCTGTAGCTTTGAGGAACGCATGCGGCTCGATGGGACTAATGCGTGTCTTTTTTATCTTCTTGATAAGCAAATGCTTTGTTTTCATTTTATGAATCCAGTGTATAACCTCTAATATCTAAATAAATTAAAGATTGTAAATCTTTTTTATATGAGTACAAGTTGAAAAATCCCCATATTTCTTAAAGCATGCCAGTTTGATTATATTTTTTCTGACCTCACTTCCATTACACTTGATAACACCTAGCACATTGTATTTTGTATACTCCTGTCTTTTTTTCAATACGACAGGACTTTCCACTTTTCCCACCATCCATTATGATAAAACAGAATAGTCCCCTTCACAGTTCTCTGCGCCATCTTGAAAGGTAGCCGTGCCTTTGCATCGAAGCGAGACGAACGGTTAACTTGCAGTGATAGACACATGTGAATAGTTGTTCAAGGTGTTTAAAAAAGGTCTCTATCATTCCAAGCTCTCTGTTCGTCTCCCTTCGATGCAAAGGCACGGCTACGTTTCAAGATGGCGCAGGGAACTGTGAAGGGGACTATTCAAAACACGGTTCATTTTCTTAGAATTGCCACGCGATTGTTTCACTGATAATCCTGAACGTAAGCAACAGAGAATAAAATATAAAGTATTAATATTTGAAGTATAAAGATTTTGCCATTTGTTAGAATCTAGTAATAGGAATGTTTAAGATATGGTTTATCGTACCATCTTCAACGCAGGAACCAATCAAATTCACCAAGTTAGGATGATAGCCAACATTTACCATGATATCAAGTTCCTGGTGAAGCTCACGGTAATCTTCTGGATTGGCTGTGCCTATGACGAGAGAACATTTATTACTATCAGCCATTCCGAGGTTGAGTGAAGAACTGGGTCGAGTTGTCATTGCAGTGTATTGTGGGGCTGATTTAGGGACGAAATAACCTCCATCTAGGAAATAACGATATCCACTGTTTACAAACATTGACGTCCCCCAAAACAGTCCCACAATGCACTGCAATGACACTCGACCCAGTTTTTTCCTCAACATCGGAGTGGCTAAAGGACAATAGACCTTATTCGTGGTGTGACAATGTTTTCCCAATTCAGCATGACAAACCTCTGGGGGAATGAAGAGCTATTGCTTTGAAACTCGTCGGGATATCATCGTTATTCCTTTCGTATCCTTTGGGACTCATGAATTTTTCGAAGAGTAAAAACAAAAGAAAATGAATCCCCTGGAGGTTCGTCACGCTGAATTGGGAAAACATTGTCACACTACGAATAAGGTCTATTCTGACTCTACTTTACGATTTGCTTTCACACATATATCGTACAGCTGCTCAGCCATCAATTTTTTTCACTCGAATTTAATTCTGGTCTAAGAAAAATGGCTCTGTGACTCTTCTATACCTTTTAGTGTCTTCACTGCACATTCTTTGGAATGGCCGTTTTGTAGTAGTTGCCCTTTGAATACAACACCAAATTCTCCAGACCCAAGTTCTTCCATTAAGACCAGGTTCTCTCTCGCAAAGCTCGGGCAGTTTTCATTGACACTAAACATTGTGTTGACGTACGATTTTGGAAAAGCATCGGCTTCTTTTTCCTAATAATAATTGAAAAAAATCCGGTTTTTATAATGTTTTCCAACTGGTTTTAATGAGACAAGAAAAGCTATTATTATATATGGAAGTGAGACCAGTTAAGAGGAATTGCGCATGGCAAGCAACATATCCTCATTGTCAACAGATCATATTAATCCTATCACATGACCAAGGAGGCAGGATATTACATCAGATAGGACAGCACATGCGTCAAGTCAATCAAACTTAAGGTAAGTCTCTTCTAATTTTCCAAGTTTCCGGAAACAATTTGATGAAGGGGATTGTAAATTGTATCGAATAATGGTTGCTTGTTCCTTTGGACACTCATCAGTTATGGATCTAAAACATGGAATGACGTAGGTAGGTGGTATGGGCTATGAAAAAGTACTTTTTCTTTAAGGCGTAAGTAGTTTCAATTAGGAGTGAATACGGAAGATCTCTCAGAAGGACAGAGAAATCCTTGGACAACTGACTAAGAGTTAGACCTTTTAGCTGAATGTAGTTAACATTTCAGGCCGACGTTTCATTCCCTTAATTAAGAGCAAAGTTCTATTTTTGCTTTGTTTTGTTTTGTTTCGAGGTACATCATCCTTATTAAGATATCTTCTTAAGCTTCTCGGACAAACAACAGAATAATAACCAAGAATGTGGTCTGAAATAGAAAGAAACCTATTGTTCATTATTTACAAACCTTCTGAATAGCTCTCATGTCAAGCTCTTCGATCATTTTGTTGGTGGAAGAGTTTTTACGACGACAGTATACAATAAGAATAGCCATGACAGCGATTAAGATGATGATGCAGACGATTATGATGATTGCCAAAAGCCAATCTGGCATATTACTTGGTCCTATGTATATGGAAAAAAAGTTATATTGATGCACTTATACTGAACAGGGACAGATAACAGCTATTTTGAAAAGGTTGGTGTATGTTTTGTTGGCATGTTGCATGTCGGATGTTGCATATTCAGATCCCAAAATGCACTACTGGGGACGTTAATCCAATCAGCAAAAGTTTACAACCATATAGAATTATGCAACATTCAATATTCAATATGCAACATGCAACATTCAACATTCAACATGCAACATGTAACATGCAACATACAACATGCAATAATCAACATGCAATAATCAACACACAACATGCAATAATCAATATGCAATATGCAATAAGCAACNTAAGAAAATAAAGAATAGATAATTGTCAAAAGAACATAATTCAGAGCCAAAGTTATAAACATTAACTAATGTGCATTGTTCTAGAACTGCAAATCGCTTCATTGCTCTCCTTCGATTTCAGTTATGACGAAAAAAATGAAGCAAAAAAGGATTGAGTGTGATAAAACTAAAATTATATAAAACTCAATTTAATACTCTTTAGCAAAAAAAGAATTTGGATCACAATATTTATATATTAATATTCAAAGTACAGTTGCTTTGAAAATATTAATTAATGAAGTATGAAAACAATGTTTGGTGTGTCTCTAGACCAAAAAGATTCTGAATATGTATATGTATATGTATATCTGAATTACTAGAAGTATATAGTATTGGATTTTCTTAAGTAGCCCAGAAAAGAGCAAGAGAAAATAAATATTTTTTCTTGTCTAATGATAAATACTAGAGTCAGTTATGTATAGACTGGATTATAATATTGGATATCATTATGCTATAACTTACAAAACTCTCTTGACTTGAAAAATATATTGTTTATGTTTAACTAAATACATTATCTAGAGCTTTGAGTTGTGATACTAACATAGGTTCTTAAAGAAAATAAGGATACAAAGGTTAGAAAAGGTTGACGAACATAGTACAACATATTGAACGATTTTATTGAAAAAATATTATTATTTAAATACCTTCATACGAGCAATTGAGAGACGAGCAAACTGAAACACTGAAAAGGACAGCGACGACCAAAAGTCCAAACCACAGCACATTAGAATAACACATCATGATAGATAAAACCTGAGAAAGGAGTGTAAAACACAAGCAAAAAAGGGTGTTAGAGATTCTTAATGTTTAGCAGATAAGCAGATCAATCCACTTCAGGCAAGTATTTTAACTTACGTTAAGCGACGAGGAGGTAACGCTCTGATAAACACCTCAATTATTTCAGTCGTTTGCTTGTCTAGTAAACGTCACTTAGAACATTCTAAAATATTCAGTATAGCGTCAAATACACTGTTCGTGCTTAAAGAAATGCACACGAAATATTTCTACATATTATTAGATATGTTTTAAAAATAATAGACAAGATGCAAAGAAAAATCTTGTTTTTTTCTCTCGAAGGATGATATCAAACGCGCCATACAAACTTATAAATTATTTGAAGATGGAGGAATCTATAAAATACGTAATTGACGAAGGATATCGGTAGCTTCATTAGGATCTTTGGAATATTTCAAAACAGTCGTGTATACGAGTTAGGCGCTGGCAGCAGAGGGGTAATGAATGGAGAATTGGGTTTTGGGCGGTGTAAAGTTATACTTATAAACATTTAGTTCATAAACCATGTATTACAATCACGAGTGTTTGTGTATAAGTATGTACTTATTATAGCAGGTGTGTGTTGAATGTTATTTTTTTTGGTTGAAAGTTATAAACATTTCTTAAATAATATTTCATTAAATTTAACAAAGGCTTTGAAATCAAGCATTTTCTAGTAAAATTGTTTAGTATATATGTGATGTATGGTTGAAGTTTTCAGATTTTGTCGTGTAAAATATTCCATCCTATCTTTCTACACCCTTCAGGCTATTAAGTAGACCTTTTTCGAATTCACTTGAGTGACCATGAAAGAGTGGCTCCTGGTCGAGGTTGAACTTGATAAGATAATAATAATAATGATGAGGATGATGAGGATGATGATGAGGATGATGATGAGAATGAGAAGGAGGAGGAGGAGGAGGAGGAGGAGGAGGAGGAGGAGGATGTGCTTAGCTAATTTTATTACAAAAATTTGATCTACTTGATATTAGAGGCTCAAACACATGGTTCAGGTCGTATTTAGAAAATAGATTTCAATTTGTATCTGTGGGAAGCATTAAATCTGACTTGCTTCCCATTTCCACCGGCGTACCGCAWGGTTCTGTATTAGGTCCAATCCTCTTTCTCCTATACATTAATGACTTTACCCATTGTTGCAACTCACTTGATCTACACTTATTTGCTGATGATTCAAATCTTTTTCTTTCAAATAAGAGCCTCATATAACTGGAATCTCTTATAAATGACCAATCAAAATCTATACATGAATGGCTTTGTGCAAATAAACTTTTCCTTAATATAGACAAGTCCAATTTTGTCATCTTTCACCCCTCGCGGAAGAAACTCAATCATTCTGTTTCACTAACCATAAACCATAAACCCCTTGAAAGAGAATATAGGCATCATTTTTGACTGTCATCTTAATTGGAAATCTCAGGTTTCACATATATCCAGTAAACTAAAACGCAATATAGGCATTATCTCTAAGCTCACATATTGATATATGTGTTACTCTGTATTATACTCTGATCTACCCCTTCTTAACCTATGGCATTACTGCATGGGGTAACACTTACTGCTCATCTCCTGAACCTCTATTCATTCTTCAAAAAAGGGCAATAAGACTTATTACATTTTCTGATGTTGATGTCCACACCAGTCCTCTTTTTCTAAAGCTTGAAATATTAAAGTTTTCTGACCTAGTTTTCTTTAGCAATGCATTGTTTATGTACAATTTTCATTCAAAGAGGTTACCTGAATCATTTAGTCCATTCTTCACACAAGTAAATGCTATACATAATTACAACACACAGCTTGCTAGCAAATCATCACTCTATATTCCAAAAGCAAGAACTAACTTTGGAAAATTTAACATCAAATTTGTTGGAGTCAAAGTTTGGAATTCCATTGATGAGTCATTTAAAAAACTTAACCTCTCTCAATTTAAGGAAAGACTGAAAAGTGATTTGCTTTGTAGGTATAAAAACGGATGAGAATTATCAAACTAGAAATAACATCAAAATGAAATCAATATATATAGCAAAGAACAAATTTTCTTTTTTATTTATCAGCACAATTCTTTGATCCTTATTGTTCTTCGTTTTTCATGTATATCTGTATGTATTTTTGTAATATTTGTTATAACTATTTCTTTCTTCTATACTTTAACTCTTTATTATTATTTTTTGTATATTTTATTTAATTCCTACAATACTTTATTGTTAACTATTCTTCCTATAATTAAGAACACTTTACCTGACTACATTCTGCAAATGTTTTTACAAGCCTACTAGCTACCTCGATTAACCTCTGGTTACTGTAGCTAGTATGGCACCTTAAAAGATGTCATATTTGTATTTTATGTTAAGTTAAACAATTGTAAATAAGGTGCTAAATAAAGATTTGATTGATTGATTGATTGATTATACGAATTAGTCGTATATTAGTCATATTGCGATTCAGTGTATTTGGAATAATTATGTGGCAAGACGACCCAAACAAAAATGAAGCAATATAATTGGCTGTAATCGATGCAATTATTGATCAAGGACAGCACGAAACGTATAACAGAATACTAACCATTAGTTTAAATTTCCCACAAAAGAACTCCAATAGACCATCTTAAAAGAAAGTTCAAAATAACTTGAGCCAAATAATAAAAAAATCAAGAGACAATAATTCAAATACACAAGCTTAATAAGAAAATACACCACTCCATGCTTACACATCACTCTCCAAAGTAAATCGCCTCAGCTTGTAGAAGGCACAAATGTAAAAACTGGACCCAAATGTAATAAGGGTCACAAATGTAATAAACTTTGGTCACAAATGTAATAAAGGTTACAAATGTAATGAACCGTTGGTCACAAATGTAATAAAAAATTTGTTTGTATCAGTCTCAAGGTCAAAACTAATTGTGCTTTTGTCGTAAACTCAAAATCCATTGTACAACTGTACACCGTGCATGCAAATTTTCCACATTTTTTTCCTCAGATATAAGATCACAAATTGTTTTTACAATTTCCAAATTCGTTTAATTTTTAAAACGATTCACAACATTAAACCTAAAACAAGCTTTATTAAACTCGATCAACTTTTACATTAGACAATCAGATAAATAGGTATAAAATTGAGATTAGAACATCAGTATATCGTTTTCATGTTTTTCGTGCATGTCAATTAATTTTGTGACGTAATTGACTGACTTTTTTCTTATAAGCTTACACGAAAACCGTTAGCTCATTTCAGAGAGGGGTCCGCACCCCCTGCACCCCACCCTAGATCCGCCCTTGCTTCCATCAAGTTTGCAACTGAAACAGTTCTTCAGTACCAAACTCTTTAATACTTCGGCA